TAGTTTTTGCAATTTCAGCAGCTAAGTCAAAGCCTTCCTGGCTTGCCTCCATTAAAGTTTTGAGGCGCATGTTCAAGAAAGCCCAACTAACATCAACAATAGCTTTGTCCTCAAGGGCTTCATAATTCCTCTCCCACTGCTCAATTTCGGCACTTAGCTCTTCGTTTTCAGTCAAAGCAGCATCATAAGAAGCTTGTAAGGGGGCGAGTGACCTCTCTAAGAACTGAACTTTGTTAGAAGACACAAGGAGATCTTCTTGAGTTTGGGTGAGCGTTTGAACAAGCTCCCCGGCGTAAACTTCTTTTTGGTTCAACAATTCTTTCAAACCTCTAATTTCTTCAGTGGCTTTGGAAAGCTGCTCGGCAAATGAAGACTCGAGGAGGTCTTTATCTTTGCCCACTTGACTAGAAGAGGCCTTCTCGATCGCCAACTCTGCTGCCATTACCTTCACTTGTTGCTCCAAGGTACACTTTTCCTCATCTAAAACTTCTTTCTCAAGGTCAAGGCCATGAAATTGTTCGTTCCAGTTGTCCGTTTCGGTGCGATAGTCATTCATTAATTGCTCAGTATGTACGATCCTCTTCATCAGCTCCGTGCCAATTAGGTTGATCTACACGAGGAAAAAGGAAAATGTGATTACCGAATACAGATGAAAAGAAAGTCACATGCAAAAGAAAAAGCTAAGGCTTATACCTTTAAAAATGAATGGACAATTTCATTCATCCACGTTAAAGAGTTGTGGCTTTCCAATTTGGACTTCTCAACTGGGCCAATCGTCGGTTTTAGCCATACATCGGCTTGGCCAGATTTCTTCAGAAGATTACCATCCTCAGGGACTTCGATGGTAACTTTTTTCATTACCCTACTGTTACTGGAAGAACCAACTTCAACATGAGAAGTTGTAACAGTAGGGGTAGTTGAGGGGGTCAAAACAGCCACGGGCGGAGCACTAGCAGCAGCAACAGGTGCGAGGAACTGAGGATCAACTGGAATAGATACTGGGAAAGAGGCAAGAGGCGCTTCCTCAGAAACAAAGTCGAAATCTTCATTATCAAACCCATGAGAAAAAAGCTGTTCTGTAGAGTCACGGGATGCGGCAGGCATCTCTTTATCGGAGCTCACCAAAGTGGTACTTTCAGGCTCGTGCATGGGAACTGAACTTGGAGGAGGAGTGACTTCGTTATCCGAAATAACACGTCTCCTAGCTCGAGACCTACGAACTAACAAGCCCTCTCCTTGTTCCTCTTCACCCTCGGAACTGTGTGCCCTATCAGCTTTTCTCTTTGATGAGGAATCCAAAATCATCTCTTGAGCCATAGACAGAGAAAGTCTAGAAGCAGCAATAGATGCGGCGCTAACACCCCGAATGGAAAACCCTAACGAAGAAAGAAGTTAGTAAGTTTTCAAGTAAATATGGAAGCAAGGTAGAGAATTGAAAGGAAGGATACCATGAGTCTTCACTTTCCAACCAAACCTATTAGAAATGTACTTCCAAGACCTCCCTTCCATAGTAGCAACAGTCAACAATTTTTTTACCCAACCACGGAAGTCTGGAATCTCCTCAACAGCTTTCATGGTTGCTGAAAAAGGAAAAAAAATATACTGTTACGAGACTGTAAGTTTTTGTTTCTTCAATAGAAAAAGAAGAAGAAGGTTAAAAAAAAGACTTACGTGCAAAGTTCCATTTTTCTGGAAAAGGCATGTTCTCTTCACCCACTAAACCTTTTATGGGAGCAGCAACAAAACGAGCATACCAGCCACGATCCTTGTCATCTTCAGGGCTAACCAAAACCCTTTTGCTCCTGGCCACGAGAGTAAATACCCCAGAACGAAACAACTTGGGGGAATATAGATGAATAAAGTGATAAAAGGCAAAGGGTAAAGAGGCCAAATTCGATAAGTATCTTAAGCATGCCACGACTCTCCATACAATAGGACCAATCTGTCATAAGCAAACATTAAAGAAACGGCAAAATTCTATAATGACTGGATTAATAGGTGCTCTGAGGCCTAATGTAAAGGGATGTGTATAAACAAAGGAATAACCAGCTTTGTATGAGGTGATCCTTTGATTTGCATTAGGGACTAAAATTGGGAAATCAGATTTCCAATGGCATTCACTTCGCACAAGAGAAATCAAGCCCTCAATAATCTGGGAAGGGTAAACATCAGCACGATCATGAGAAGTCATAGATGTAACTTGATTTCTAATCGGTTCTCGATCAGTAGAGAAGGAAAGATCAGCAGGGACAATCTCATCAACAGTGGGTTCTCGAAGACGTTCACTAAAATCCCTACTTCTAGCAGAAGATCTATGAGAAGAAGAAGCCCTAGTTCTAGAGGACGAAGGAGTAATAACACTGGGTTGAGAAGAAGAACCACGAATAGATACATACCCTAAACTACGTAATCTGCCACCTCTTCTACTTCTGATAGGAACAGATGAAAGGGGAAGTTAATCTATTATAACTACTCTACGAGGATCGGGATTTGGAGAAGACATGGTCGTATAAGAAAATAATACGAGCTGATGAACAAGAACTATTATGGAAGAAGAATACTATAGATTAAAGGTTTTCGTGAAAGCAAAGACATAAGGAGGTATTTATACGAAAAAGCAACCGTCATATGAAGGAGTTCGTGATAGAAACGTCATAATGAAAACAGTCACTTCGTGACTGATGCAGCCGCAGAAAAGACCTAAAAACCGCTGAAGAGTTGCAGATCCAATCAATGAATGCCACGTGTCACAAACATTAAATGGAAGTGATATATGACGCGTTGGTTCTGAAGAAGATGCAGTGATACATAAGAAACGGCGGCAAAAAATTCCCGCCATAAATGTGATCCACTTCCCAAATATTCAATTGCTGAATAATTGGTAAGTGGGGGGACTATCTGTATTGGTAAAAATAAATATTACACGTGGATTTATATATGTGGCTGATGTGGTAAGACACGTGAATCACTAAGAAAGCGACAGCTAGAGAGATGCATTAAAAGAGGCACGAGTCGAAATAGGTACGAGCAAATCACCCACGAGATAAAAGGGGTATGATCGCTCGAGTCTGAACTGTTATATGAAGAGACACCGGCAGAATGAATCAAGACAGTAAAGAAGGAATATTCATGAATCGTCAATTAATGTGCATGAATGATCATTGACGTTATAGAATCTTGATGAACATTTACGATTGCCAATTATAACGTCTCATTAATATCATTAATGTTCATAATGATTCAATCATAAAAGGGAAGAAACGTTGTACTTATAGATTCTTATATAAAGGGAAGGGGATTTCACTTGTAAAGGGACGTTCTGATTATTATTGGAATACAATTACTTTCTTTTTCTTTCTATTGATCACTTTGCTATTTCACATTCTAATTTCCTTTCTTATCACTGAGAGAATATAGAATTTCTTGATTATTAGTAGCCCGAGTACTTCTAAAAATAGGCTTTGACTGAGAATCTAATTCTTTGGTTAAACAGAAAAAGGGGCACGTGAGATTGAATCTGAGAAAACTATTGTAAGAAGTTGACCATTGAGAGAAAATACAAAGTTCACCTTTCCATAATGATTTATCGATTATTCTTCCTTTTCACTCACATGATTCAAGAAAGCATTGCTCATATTCTTGTTTACTGCCATATTTCGTTGTCAGAAGGAAGAATCTTCCACATCATTTGATATTTGGGTGAATTGTTCTTCCTATTTATATTTATTGCCATTTCTCATATTTATTGCTCATCACTCATTCTTCATTCACTCTCTAAAGTGTGCATTTAATGACCGAATACACGATTCTGAGCACTTGGTAAACGGTATCACCAAAACTCTAAACTAGATTTAGGAATTATTATGCTTGACTAGGATTCACCTTTCACCTCAGTTATCTTTTAATTAGTTTAACATAGAGTACTATATTTTTTTTGTCAAACAGTAAGTAATGCATGTCGCTAAGTGGTCTTTTTCTCGATATAGTAAAATTTAGCTAGAGATCTTTTCAATAAGATATGCCTTGATCATGAATAAGAAAAAACGTATCTTTTTTGCTTCAAGAATAAAAATATAATTAAGAAGTGAAAGAGTTAACTAAATAGATGGTCTTGACAATATCTTTTTAGAAAAAAACAATAGATATCCAAATTAAGAGGCTTCAATCTGATTAATTTACGTGTTATTTCACTTTTGTTCGGGTCTAGTAAACTAAGTGGTAGTGACAAGGTTAATTCAATCTAGACCTTCCTCCCAAATACTAGAAAAAATTTGCCCTTCTAATTCCTCATTGGAAAATTTATTCGGGCTCCAATGTTTAATCTATAACACGTGCAATTTCATTTCCAACTGAGACCACTCGATCGATCTCTTCCACTTAAAAATTAGAGAAAAAGTTCAAACGAAATGAAAAGAAAGAATGAGGTCGCCGCCTATCTTTGTTTTAGGGAATTCCTCTCCCCCTCCAGGAGGATGCCTCACCTTATGTTGCGATAAAGGACTTGTTAAATAATCTCTTGACATTAGAATTCACCCAAAATTTGAGAAAATGACAAAATGGTCCTTTGTGGTTGAGGGTAAATTCAAAAAGGTCCTTTAAATATACTCTTGAGTAGTTTTAGGTTGCCAAAAGTGAGCACTTTTGTGGTCCCACGTCAATTATTTACTCCCTCCGGTCCAAAATAAGTGATTTTTTGGCTTATTTTTTGTGGTCCAAAATAAGTGATTTTTCCGGATTTCAAGAATGAATTAATTATTTTTTTCCTACATTACCCTTGGAGTAAATAATGTTGGAGTATGTGTTAGGAGTGTTTATGTGAAAAGATAGTAAATGTTAATATGGTCAATTTCATTGCTAATTAATGTTAAAAGGTGAATTTCTTAATATGTGTGAAAACAACCAAAAAATCACTTATTTTGGACCGGAGGGAGTAACAAACTTTGTATGGTTAGATTTAACAAAAACTATATAAAAAATTAACATGAACTCACATCGTAGTTTCTTCAATTTTTGTTATTTTTGGTCAATTTTGATATTTTGTATGTAAAAATATTTGTTAATCTGTGTTTAGTGTCTAGTGGAAGTTTTGGCGTTGCAATTTCGTGAATTTGATGGGATATAGGCCAAAAATACTCTTTTTTGGTAAATTTAAAGCACCAATATTGCTCATAAATATATTTAAAGGATCATTCTAAGCCTACCCCAAAATTTAAGAGATCATTTTTGTCATTCTCTCCCAAACAAAGGGGATCTTTTTCTTTCCATCCATTGTTTCCAAAGTCGAGCGATCTGAAACTCCCGCGACTCTCTCGATTTAGGTAATCCGCCTCTTCAATCTATTCCCTACCCCCCCCCCCCCCCCGCCTTCCTTTTTTTTCTTTCTGTTTAATTACATGTTCTGCCGTGAAATATAGTTAAACTTTTTATAGGAAGTTCGCATGATCTTCATTCTCTTTGCACTTTTTGTGCTGTCATTGTAGGGTACGGTGTAGGAATTTGTGCTATCAGCTTTATCATTGAAGGAGAGTCGATTGCTGAAAGTCAACAGTGATTATAAAGGGCCAACTGATAAGAAAGGTTATTCCTTTGCTATTGTATAGAAAAGTTCAGTTATAATTTCTTGTTCTATAATGCTCAAAGATAAGGGATAAAAGGAAATATTAAAAATTATGTCTCACTAAACTTTGATTACTGCTATGTATGGGATGTAGAGTTGGGTATGTGTTTGTTCTCTCGAGAAAAAGAGAAGTTCTTTAATAAGGAGAATTCTTGGTTGGAACACAAAATTGGGTTGAATTTGGAGGTTCAAAAGTGAGTTAAATTTTGTTAGAGTCCATTCGCACGTGTTATTGATTTCACAGGGGTAATTCGTAATAAGATAGAGATGTTATTGATTTGTGCTTCTCTTACATTGTTTATTTTGTAGTTTATTTGTAAGGCCACTCTTTGAATCATGTCAAAGTGTAGTTAACACTTAAATTTTGAAATATGCATTTCCCAAATGTGGTCGGAAAGTTGTTCACTGGCTTCCTACGGTATTAATTTGTTTCATCAATATGAGGTTGTTGTGTTGAATGATTTCAAAATATAACGAGGAATTACTACCATTTTCTCAATTGCATTATATTCCCTTTTGTGTGAGGGGAACCTAACTGATGTTTCTTTCCTTTGTAGAGTTGGTGGAAGCGAAAACCAATTAAGACAGGAAAAGTTCAGATATGGTGAGTTGCATCGGAATGCGAAACTTTGGATCGAAAAAGTTTGATCAATTCCATATGTTATTGGATGTGTAAATAGACACTAATACTTTTGTATTGGTATTTTTAGTCAGCGCTCTTTAATTTCCATTCCTTTTTGACGGTAGTGCTGTTATGGATTTGTACATGCACTTACGTGAAGATGCATTTTCCAGCTCTTCTTGAACAGAGAACTGGGTAAGTCTCCATGAAGTTTTAACTACAATTTTCTTGAGAAGTTATCAAGTAGTGGGTGCCTATAGCTCAGTTGACAGGATATGCTATTGATGTCAATCTTACCTATGTTAAACCTTGATATCCATATAGTGCTCCGTCATCATTTCTTCCGCTTGTATGATATTGGTTCTTTCATTTTCTCTTTAGATTTATGGTTGTTTGGGACTGTGGCGTAGTAGTTGTTGTTGGTGGCGGTAGTGTTGTATTCCTTGGATTTATGGTTTCAGAAGATCTCCTTGTTCTGGTACATTTGCTGGATTATGCTCCCTTTATTGCTTTGAACTGGCAACCTTGTTCTCTAACTGGGTGCATGTGGGCCGCAACAACCATTTAGCCACCTTCCCTCCTTTCTCCTCTGTCACTTGCCCCAATCTCCATTATTAGATGGGTGGTGGGAGGGGACCGGGGAGACCGGTAAAGGATGGAGGAAATCTGCCATGAAGTGAAGGTGGTAGTGAAAGGGGCACATACATGTCAGCACAAAATATTTCTACGGAACATCCCCTTCAATGTTTGAGATAGGCTGTTGTGATATTTCACATGCAAGAAAATATTTGTGGCCCTCATTTTTACTTCTTCATTTACGAACAAACCTCTTAAAAGTTGTAGGTTTTGACATGATGTATGTACTTAGGCTCAACATTTCTACTATTGTTTCATGTGAGGACACATTTTTCCTATTTTTTGTTTTATTTATGTATATACGTTATGGTAAGGACACTACTAATGCTTGCATTAGAGTAGGTTGTCTACATTACACCCCTTGGGTGCGGCCCTTTCCCGGACCTTGCATGAATACGAGATGCTTTATGCACAGGGCTGCCTTTTTTTTATTTTTTTATATGCATTATGGTGAGGAATCAACTGATCCTGGATTTAGTCTGTTATACTTTTCGTGAAAACCGTGGTTTCACTTGGTTGAATGGCATTTCACTCAAAAAATTTCTCTTTGATAATTTAATGTTTCTTATAGAATATAAATGCTACAATATTCTGAAAAATGATAGAAGTGCATTTTTATTGGATCTACTATGTTCTCTTGGCTTTTTATGGGCTACAACCTTGATCCTGAATGGTGGACCAATCAATAAGCTTTACTCCTATAGCCTCATTTGACAGTTTGGAGGTGATGAACGTTTTATCTTGTATTCTCCTTTTCGCTTCCTAATTAGATACTACATATGGCAGGTTCCGAGGCTTCTTTTGGAAGGCTGCTAGAATAGGTAAAGTTATTTCCTATCATGCTGGTATTGTTGGTAGAGCGTTAATTTACTATCTGTTTTTTTTTTCTATTATGCTGCCTTGATTACTAACTTTTCTTCGTAATTGAAGTTTTCTTGGTTTGGTGATTAATAACACTGCTAGGGTGGCAAATGAGGGGGTTGGGCTGAATTTGGGCAAGCTAACGTGGGCCGAATCAATAAATAATCATTGCCCAACCTAACCCAAAGTTTACTTGTGCTAAGATGGGCTAAACAATAGGTCATAGCCCAACCCGTCCAACTTAACTCATCTTTCTTCAATTAGAACCACACTCCATCTAGTATAAAGAAACCTATTTACCTTATACACCTATATTCTCTAATTTTGCAACTTCCTTATAATTTTTTTTTTCATAATTCTTTCATTTCATGCATTGTCGATGAGTTGATATATATATATATATATATATATATATATCACTTGAATTAATTTTTACTAAACTATTCAGAGCGTTTATACTTCTTAAAACCCGATAGATATTTTTCAAGCTTCTCAATTTAGATGGATTGTTAGTGTAATTAACACATTTTCTTCTTCTTTATGTTTAATTTTCAAAACTTGGTCAAACTTTATTTCTACGAGCAGTAACAAATTGAATAGAAGTTTGAAAATAAAGATAATGTTTATTGCGAGAAAATGCATTAAAATGTTAGTATTCGCTTGCATGTCTTTTTTTAAAGATAAAAAATACAGAGGAATCATTTTTGCTAGATTAATTTGAAGAGAACTTTAGTAACACAAACTTCTCATGTTTTTGCCTTTTTGGTACTTGTATAAAAAAGTACTTCTAATGATTGGGCAGCTGAATAAAGTTCCACGCAATCAATCTTCAGCTGTGTTGGGGCCTCTTTATTCAGGGGAGCTACACGGGTTGAAATTTGGCCTCTTCGCGGGTCAGAATGGGCTGCGAAAAAGTGATGGCCTAACTTGGGCACAACCCAAATAAACCCATGAGCTGTAATTTTCTTGCCCAACCCGTTACATTCGGGGCGGGTTAAATGGGTTTGGGCTCAAATTGCCACCCCTAAACACTGCTTGTATCTCTCTTCAACTGAATTGCTTGCACGTAGTCCCATTAAAAATGGAAGCGAACATGGGCTGTGGACTTGATGCCGAGTTACTGCTGAGAGAACCTACATTTGTAACTTAAAGATTAGACATCCAATGAATGGATACTATTGCACAAGATGGCTAAGAATTATTTCTCGTATATGCATAATTTTGACAGGGAATTTATATTTTAGGGTGTTCTCTGTAACTTGGCTGATTGATAATGTTTTATCAGCCTCATCTTTGATCAAAATTTTAGAAGCTTCATCCACCTGACCACATGTCATTTGTCCGCCTTAATTGTCTTCATGGAGGTTCCTGTTTCCTTTCGCTCCTACTTCTTTCCGGAAGCTTTTTCATAATATCTTCTGAATGGACACCTTTTTCAAAAGTCAGAAGGCAGACACAAGATCTACTGGCCGAATGAGTGAAGTAAGAGATACTTTAAAGGCAAAAAGGAAACTATTTGTAACTTAAAGATCAGATGTTTAGCTCTCTTATCCTTTTGATGTAAAAAGGAAATATAAATAAACTAGATAGGATAATTAATTTCCTCCGTTCTTTTCACATTTGACTAGTGCGCTGAGATGCATATTGCAAATTATTGTGCTACTCATCCATTGCATTCTCTGGATGATGTTCTTTTATAAAATGTTCATTACATTTTCAGTAAAATAGAAGTTATCTTGAACTTCTATCCCTTACCTAAACTTTGACAGCATATGTAAGTAGAGCAAAAGGATTTTTTGAAATTGAAGAGTATACGATATTGCAAATACCTTGCTATCTATCCGAGGAAAAAGAAGGGTTGTTTGTGTAGAGAGCAAACGACAGAAAACAGGGAAATCATTTGTTCATTGTTGCATAGCAAGTAAATCTTTTGTGCTTTCATATGGCCAGAATGCTTTGATTTGACAAGAAGTTACTAATATAGAGTGCTTTGATGTGGCAGGTGAGCGGTTGAGTCCTTGGGTGGCTGTGGGCTGCTTGACAATGGGTGTTTCAATAATCTTCTTCTAAGGCGAACAGTTGCTTGAAAGTTGGGAGCTAATTTACTGCTTCAGCTTTGTTTTTTGCAGCAAATGCCTTCTTTGATCAAACTTGAGCACTGAATTGTTGTGGCACTACTTTGATCCGGAACTGAGCTTTTGCTTGTGAGATGGTCTAGTTATGACGATTGTCAATGTTATCCATTCTGGCCTTTGTAACACTCACTCGACTTGGTACCTTAACTTGCCAAAGAATCGAAAAAATCCCATGCTGCATTATATCCGTTGATGATTATGCTATGTATACCATAATCTACATATGCTAGAACTTGCTTGTGATCCCGAAACCGTGCCACCAGGGGCGAAGCCCCCTTTTGCTACCACTATGAGTGGTCAATTGACCACCCTTCGTCGAAATATTACTAAAAAATATATTGTGCATATAAGTAAAATATTAAATTTTAGATGTATATAACATATATTGATATCCTTTATTGATTTTTTTTTTTTTTTTACTTCTTTCAAGTCTAAACACCCTTAGGGAAATTTCTGGTTTTGCTACTGACTGCCACTAAGAAAAAATATTTAGTTTTAAGTTGTCAGTGTAATTTTACCTTTTGGAGCAAGTAACTAGATTATTAATCTCATTCTTTATTGACGGTTAGTTGTAGTTATTGTTCAAATGATATTATTTTTTTACACTAGGCAGATTTGATTGTATCGACATTGTGAATACATTAATTGCTTTCCTCTACTGGCCAACAGTAAGCAAACTGCCATTAAGTGCACATGATGTTTTCTCCTCTCTTTTTTCGTTCTAACGTGTGTCCTTTGTTCGTTCTTTTTTGTGTTTCTTTTTCTAATTTTGCTTCTTTTTCTGGTAATTTGAAACTTAAAATAGAAAGTTAAAGCCTGGTGACTTTGACATGACAAAAACTGGCCAAATTATCCATAAGCAAAGGACTTTCCCTTCTTGTATTCTCCAACTTCATTCTTTCTCTTTTACCAAATTGGTTTACTTGCCTCAACGTGCGGCTACGTGCTCCCTCCCATTCTTACCAAGAGAATCTATTATTGGCCAGAAAATCTCCATATGTTGTGTTCTTTCTGCCATCTCCTTGGATGCCTTATGTTGGGAAATACATGTCATGTATTTATTGGTGTGGTGTAAAAACTGGGAGCGGGTGTATATTTTTACCCTTTTACCATGTTATTACTTTTTATTTCTTCTTATTTTGCAATGTAATACTCTAAGATATTTTAAAACTTTTATTTGTGGTTCAGTAAGGTATGATTTTATGCTTTCTTATGGTACGCGCTTTGCGCGTGTATTTATATCAAGGGGTACACAAAAAACCACATAATGTAAAAATAAAAATTTTAAAAGGGTAAGTTGTTTAAAATAATGAATGTTAATCTCATTTAGCTAACTCAATCGGAAAAAAGGCACAAAAGTCCTTAGATGCCATATTATTGTGCTTTTAAAATTATTATTTTTTACCCAATGCCGAAAACAAATAAATCACAAAAAAACTTTTCAAATAAAATAAATTTAAAAGTTAAATCTTTTGGTATATATTAGAGATTTGGAAATAAAGAGATTGCCCTGTAGATCATAGAAAAAATTTATAGGTAATGATGCAAAGTTTAAATTTGACTAATGTTGCGTTAATATTTTACCAAAATATTTTAATATATAAAAAATATAGGGAGCTATCATGTGTTGAAATGAAAGTGAAAAGAAAAAAAATGAATACCAATAATTCATTTTAGAATGCATTTTATCTACTATTGTTTTATTATTATTGATTTAAGTTTATATTTTTACCAATTTGACTTTTAGTACTATAGAATAAATATTTGATTTATTTTTTATACCGTTCATTACCAATGCTCTTTTTATAAAAACATATTTATGTAGCCAAAGAGTTTATCAACTTGAAAAATAATTTTTACTTATATAATTAATTTGGAAATAAATTTCATTGGATACTTTTAATTGATAATTAGTTAATTAATTTAGACATTAATTATTTGTTTTCAACCTTAAAAGGAATAATTTTTTGTTTATTCAAATTCATATTAGCTCATCTAAGCTTTAAATATTTTAATATAACAATAATTTTGTCCAAGCATTTTTAACTTGGAAAATTCCTTTTACCCTTTGAAATTTTGCTAAGGACGTCGTGCTTTTAATATAGTATAGATTACATAACTCAAACACAATTTTTAAAAATAATATTTATATGAATTTTTTTAAAAATTTAATATTTATTGAGACAAAGTACACGCACAAAGTGCCTACTCTAAGACTAGTAAACATTAGAAACGAATGAGTGCATTCAAGTTAATTTGCAATAGAGATAAACTAGGTGCAATGCCAATCAAACAAAAAACAAATACGGTCCCTCTCCCAAAGGTTCCTCCTTGCCAGCTCCATACATGTGAGTTCCTCAGGCTTCCAGCTCATCATCTTTATCCAATCATATCTGCAGGCTTTCACTTGTTTTAATCGACTATGCCAAAGCTGGCTTCCATATATTATATGATGGATGAGACATTTTAATTGCCTATACAAATTCTTGATTACACAAGAAATAGAATGAAAATTCTTCCAGTATAATAAATGATCGATGAAACATGTAATCATTTGGTAAGTTGATGATAGGTTGAGTTTCGTTGGATGACAACTCCATAGTAAAGCATCCAAAAAAGCTGGGCATTCTCTAGTCAGATATATCTCTACATCTAAAACGTCCACTTGCGGGTAAATGTTCAATTGAGGGTTAGCAAGCAGTTGCAATTCTTTCCTGTTGATTTCATTGCGCTGGTAAAACTTAAGAGTAACTTCAGACCACGAGGTCGAGTTTGATAGAAATTTCTTCAGCTCACAAAACCATGCATTATTTAAAATATTGTTGCGGCAGTAAAGAAAGAGTTTTGAGTGCTTCAATTGGCTTGATTCTTTTGCTAGTTTTAGTTTGGGAATTTGACTTCCCATATACTCAAGCGTTACCAGATTTGGAGCATCAATCTCCCGAATACCCTCACAAGCCAGAATCTTCAAGAACTTTATAGATTGGCTCCCGCACAAGTTAATACTTTCCAACCCTATGGAAAGACTATTTAATATCAAACTCTCAAGGAATTGCGATCTAAAAATAAGGTGCTCCAGAAATCCATCAGATATCCTCTCACAAGATAGCTCTAAAGATTTTAAACTCCAACATTCAACAATATCCAACATCGAAGACTCTTTCGAAAACCCATTATAGGACAAGTATTCGAGAGTTGGTGCTTGGATTGTAACACACTGGTTTTTCTTTGTCTTAATAGAAACTGACTTGACTTTTTGAAGATTTCGCACCTCAATCTCTGTCAACCCAACACAATGATGAATGACGATATTGACAATTAAGGGACAACTAGCGAATAAAATCTGAAACATCTTGTCGTCTAAATGGACATCATGTAGAGAAAGTTTTCTCAAAGAATTGCAGTTTATCACATTGCTAGTAGATAATGAAACACGCATCAGATCACAACCCTCCAGATCTAGTTCTCTTAAAGATTTTGCTGCTAAGGTTCTTACAATAGACAAGGGGTAAGATGGAGATCTCAAATAATCTCTATACGCTAGATATTTTACACCGTTATTAAGTGCGACAGTAAGCCACGTATCAATAAGAGGGAAAAATTTACCGAAATCATACCTTCGATAATATATTGAGCATTCAAACATATAAATAGGGGTTTTTGTGTCCCCATATCTCTCTAGAATTTGATCTATTATTTTCACGTCTTGCTCCGAATAAAGTCTAAAAAGCAAGTTGGGATGAGTCAACCAGGCTTGTAGCCATGTTTTGGAGAGAATACTCATCTTTGCTGCTTCTTCATATTCGAGGTAAGAGAGTATTTTGTGAATCAGACATTCAGGCAATATTTCTGCTGTGGCTGTCCTCATGGTCGTGGCTGGGAAGTTGCTAGTTATTGTCTTCGGAAGGAACCCTAATGTGCAGGGGTATTTATAGCTCACATTCACTCATACTCCAACAAGGTATAGGAAACGAGGAGCAGAAACAATATACAGAAGTAATTAACAAATATCTCTCTCTATATATATAGTATATAGAGAGAGTTAATAACCGAATGAGTAAAGGAAACTTTTGCTAAAGGACTCAATTCAAGTAGGGATGGATTCTTTATAATAACGAATTTGTATATATTATGGTTTGGTACGTATACTTGATCGTAACAAACTAACAATGGTAATGAATTCAAAGGAAGGATAATATAAGTTAGTTACAGAATTAAAGTAAAATAAACATTCTAGGAAAATCAATTTCATGTAATAGTTAAGCTATTTTTAGTTCCAGAATAACCAATTTATAGTTTCTATCTTCCGGAATATTTTATTTTCTAAAATAAAGTAAAAGTCGATACATAATTCTACATGTTTTTAATGTTTGGGACTTTTGAAATCAATTAAAATTTTAATTACTATATCTACCCGTAGGCATATGAATTTTATTAAAATTAAATTCATAAAATAATTTGGATTTTATTGGTCCAAATAAATAGTATGGGCTAATATAATGAAATTATATATATAAGTCCAATATATATGAGTCAAAATAAAGGAATTTTTACATTCCTATCCCACTTATGAAACCTTTTTACTCTACATGTTTAAGGTTTCACTTAATTACATTTAGCATACCAAATTACCAATCCTATACCATACTTAATTAAGGGTCTAATTAATGGGCAATTTTTACTCCTTAATTAAAGGTATCCATATATCCCACGTTTCTCTCTACCCTTAATTCCTAAGATCTGACCAGCCGTAAAAATCCATTGCTTTTAAACAGATGGAAGTAATCTCTCACTCCGGCAAATACCAAATACCAGCGGCAAAATCAAATCAAATTAATCAAATCTTCGAAGTGTTTCTCTGCGTCTCTGTTGGGGTTAAGCGAAGTAGAAGAAAGGCTCAAAGATGGAGGAAGATTTGAAAATGGAGGCAGTACGCGAAGTTGAATTAGACGATGAATACAGAAGACTTCCTCAATCGATCAATCAACAATTCTCAATTGTAAATTTGTGGGGTAGCCATATGAATCTTCTGTTATTTGTAGAAATTTTGTAGATGAAGAGTAAATTGTAGAAATGTGACATCCACAATTAATCTGCAAATTATCTACAAAAGTTTACAAAAACTACAAATTAACTACATTTAACCTACATTATAACTANAATTTTTAAAAGGGTAAGTTGTTTAAAATAATGAATGTTAATCTCATTTAGCTAACTCAATCGGAAGAAAACTTGTGGCACAAAAGTCCTTAGATGCCATATTATTGCGCTTTTAAAATTATTATTGTTTTCCCAATGCCGAAAATAAATAAATCACAAAAGTACTTTTCAAATAAAATAAATTTAAAAGTTAAATTTTTTGGTATATTAGAGATTTGGAAATAAAGAAATTGCCCTGTAGATCATAGAAAAAATTTATAGGTAATGATGCAAAGNACACATGGAAGTTCTTCAAGTTGGAATTGGCCACAGCTACATTTCTTGTTTTCTAGACACACAATGTACCGCTTCACACCATCCAACACAGTATGTATATGATCTGTTGAAGCCCTCACCTATATTTTCAGAACAAACATAAAGAAAAAAATTTTACAATATTAAAAATATAGTATCTACAATATATCTATATTTTATCTACAATATATCTACAAATTAACTACAAACTATAAGTAAACTACAATTTGTCTACAATTTATCTACAATCTGGAGACACTGTATATTAAAATATTTTTTTCCTGCACCAAATAAAGAAATTGTAGTCAAATTATAGATATATGTAGTAAATTTGTAGATAATATCATAAAACTAAAATTTCACAATTTTGGACATGATTTGTTGTTGTTGTTGATGTTTTTTTGGATTTCTAGATTGAGAGAAGAAAAGATGAAGAAGAGATATATATGAGCGACAATTTGATAGAAGAAATGACGAAGAACAGATTTTTTTTAACTTTGAGTTGTTGAAACTCGAAAATTTGAATTGTTCGTTCTTATTTTTTTTCGAGAATTTTTCCTTTTTTAATTTGTAATTTTTGTTGGCTACTTTTTAGTTCAATCACAAACTTGGAATGCATAAATTATGTATAAAGAGATTTCCACGAAACCTAAGAAAGGAAGGACACACACCTGCATATCTATCCTTTCCCTTTTTAAAAATTAAATTTAATGTAGAATCAATTAGCACCAAGATTCTCTCCTTAATTTTAGCGCGTTTTTTAGGGAATATTCTGCCCTTTTAATGCCTAATAGTCGAATGGTACAAAATTTGTAGGTAAAACGTGGACTGGGCGGGTAATTAACAAACAATGCACATTTTTGGTAATAAGGTTTCATATATGGTATAGTTAGGAAAAAATCCCATTAAATAAGTCTTAATCCATTGGACTAGCCCATTTAATTGGGCTACAAGTAATAAGCCCACTTCGTTGAGCCCAAGATGCCATCTTCCTAGAGGCCTACGTTGGTGCCACGTGTCAAATGACGTGGCGCGCCAAGTCAAATGGAAAAGCCAATAGGATCATGCTACGTGTCAAAATGACAAGGCATGCCGTCACATTAAAAGGCTAATGAAATCACCCCACGTGTGCAAGTGACATGTTCTGGCCAATCAAATGCGGCCTTGTCACACTTCTATTTGATTGATCAGAAAAAATTTATTTTTATCATAACTCTTTCCTCCCACAACTATAAATAGGGGTCTTCATAACTCAGAAAAGACACCAGAAGTTATAACAAGAAGCAAGAGAGAGCTCGTGGATCAAACGCTGCAGATTTCTCTACAAGTTTCAAGCCTCAAGCAATCAAGTCCAAGTTCAAGAAATCAAGCTCAAGCTCAAGAACGAAGAACAAGTCAAGATTCAAGGAATACGAGTTCAAATCAAAGTTCGTGGTAGTTGAATTCAAGATCATCATTCGTGGCAACAAATATAGATTCAAGATCAAGCTCAAAGGCCCTTGATTTATTTACTGTTGAAAAGAAGAACCTGAAGATTCATAGAGATTGTACACTCAAATATTCAAAATAAAATACTACGATTGTTGCAATATTTTTCGGTCTTGATTTTATTTTCTCAACGCAATTTAGTGTCTACATATTCTGGCATGCCTAGTGGGACAATCTCTACCTCTCATCTCAGCTTTTCAATCGCCAAAGTTCAAGAACAACGAAATGGCTTCCAAGAAAATCAACTCCAGTTCAACTTCCGCCAAGGCTGCTAATTCCAGGTTCTATGGTGATGTGGAAAACATACTCGAAGTTACCTTTGGAAGCTTTGGACCAGTTACGAGGAGCAAAGCAAGCTCGTTAGGATAACAAGCACCCCAAGTGTCGTCCGTATCTAGCCCTGTTTTAGGATCTTTATCCTTAAAAGGAGCAAGATCTTCCACAAACGCACCCGAAGGAGGAAGCGATGTTGCTGAAAAGATCAAGAAAACTCTTGCTCTGCTTTACCTCTTCGGATCCAAGCACTCTGCTGTGAAGGAATATGATGATGCTTCAAGTGATGGATCCTCCCCACTTACACCATATAACGTGAGCCAATCAAGGATCAATCTGTGTGAAAATCCATGCTACACTCCATCGTCCACGACAATCATGCAAGCCATGGTGACAAACACTTCATCTGTGGAGGAGCAGTTGGCAAACTTGACGGAAGCAATCTCTGGCTTGACCAAGTGCATGCAAAATCAAGATGCTAGAATCGACAAGCTAACAGATAGGGTGGGAATCTTGATGGAAGAAGAATCCACCCATGCACCTGGCAAACTCCTAGAAGTTCAAGAGATTAATCCTCCCCCACGACAAGTTGCATGCACTAAGGAAATTCCAGTCTCTTCGGAAGGGATGATTCCATTCAATCAACTAAAGGAGTTCATTGAAGGGACTATAAAAAACAAATATGAAGTCGCTTCCAAGTCTTCCTTTACCTACGTAAAGCCGTACACTTCAAGGATCGATATATTGAAAACGCCTGCTGGCTATCAACCTCCAAAATTTCAACAGTTTGATGGCAAAGGCAATCCAAAGCAACATGTGGTGCACTTCGTTGAGACATGCAACAATGCTGGGACTTATGGAGATTACCTCGTCAGACAGTTTGTTCGCTCGTTAAAAGGAAATGCTTTTGAATGGTACACTGACCTCGAGGCTGGATTTGTTGATAGATGGGATCAACTAAAGAAAGAATTCCTCAATCGCTTTTAAGCACGAGACGTGCTGTGAGTATGATAGAACTCACAAATACTCATCAACGGAAGGGTGAACCAATTCTCGAAATCAATCGTTGGAGGAATGCAAGCCTCAACTGTAAAGACATGCTTAGTGACGTTTCTGGCATAGAGATGTGCATCCTGATATTGCGCTACATCTTGCAAGGTATCAAGCCTAGAACATTTGAAGAACTTGCAACTCGTGCCCATGACATGGAATTTAGCATGGCCTCCACTGGAAATGAAAGGCTGCTCATCTGTGAACCTCGCAAAGGGAACGACAAGCAAGAAGTCAAAAAATGGAGCAAGTTTGTACCAAGATATGAAAATAAAGAAGCTATTAATGTCAACACATCACCTGTAAAGTTCACGACGAAGGTCACAAGAAGCAGAGTATGAAATTCACTTCGTTTCAAGATAAGCCAAGTGGAAAGTTGACTCTAAAAGAAATGCAAGAGAAAGAATACCCATTTCTTGATTCTGATGTGCCAGCTATTTTTGAACAACTCCTCGAGTTAAATCTCATTGAGCTTCCGGAGATGAAGCAGGGAAAATTGATGACCCAAATTACTGCAAATATCATCGGCTTGTGAGCCACCCTCTAGAGAAGTGCTTTGTCTTCAAGAACAAAGTTATGACTTGGCTCGTGAAAAGAAAATCA